TTGCCTACAGAGCAAACAGGTCTGTGGATGATGCAGTCAACATGGGACTGCATTATGTTCTGCAACATCTAGACAGACGTTCGTGATGTTCGTGGACTTCAGCTCAGCCTTTAGCACTATCATCCCAAACCTCCTCCTGCCCAAACTAACTCAGCTCTCCGTGCCCACCTCCATCTGTCAGTGGATAAACAGCTTCCTGACAGACAGGCAGCAGCTAGTGAGGCTGGGAAAATACTCATCCAGCACCCGTATAATCAGCACTGGAGCTCCTCAGGGTTGTGTTCTCTCCCCACTGTTCTTCTCCCTGTACACCAACGACTGCACTTCTAAAGACCCCTCTGTCAAGCTCCTGAAGTTTGCAGACGACACCACACTCATCGGCCTCGTACAGGATGGTGACGAGTCTGCTTACAGTCAGGAGGTTTAAGAGCTGGCTGTCTGGTGCAGTCTCAACAACCTGGAGCTCAACACGCTCAAAACTGTGGAGATGACCGGAGGAACCCCCCTGCTCTCCCTCCACTCACCATCATGGACAGCACTGTGACTGCAGTGGAGATCCAGCACACTCCCTCTTTGAACTGTTGCCATCTGGTCGATGCTACAGAGCACTGAGCACCAGAACGACCAGACACAGGAACAGTTTCTTCCCTCAGGCCATCCATCTCATGAACACTTGACAATAACTGTGGAACACACACTATTTATTCACTCATACACTTGTTTATCTAACACACATACTCAGTCTACATTTCAATTTGCACATAATATACCTGTACATACCCTGTACATACAACTGTCTATTGTTATATACCTGTACATACAATTGTCGATTTGTATATTTTTATTCCTTATTCACTTGTTCTATTTTTTATTTATTTTTATTTTTTATTATGTGTTTTTTTTGTTCTGTCACTGTCATTCTGTTACACTGTGGAAGCTTCTGTCATGAAAACAAATTCCTCGTATGTGTAAACATACCTGGCAATAAAGCTCATTCTGATTCTGATTCATTAAAATGAGGGTTGATCATCATGACTGAAAGTAATGACTTGCCATTCAGTAACTATTCTGACTGATTCGGTGAATTTATCCGGTGAAAGATCATTACAGTTGATTCCAACCAATTTTTGTGAGCTGTTCTTTTTGATTGAGTTTTTGTTTATTTTTGAGTTTAGTCACTTAAGATATTGCCGAATAAAGACATAGTCTTGTATTTTGATGTCTTGTCTTGGCATTATTCTATGGAACACAGTCTTTTTATGTTAATTAGATTGTAGATTGTAGATTCAGCAGTGGCGTGATGTCTTGTAAAGGCTACAGCTTGCCTTTCTGATTGCTCAGCTATGTGTGCGTGTATGTCAATATTTTGCTCACATTGAATTAAGGAGCACTCATCCCTTACTTTTCACTACACTGCTCTCCGTCTTGCAATTCTGAAAGCTCAGCCGGTCATCTCTCCTCTCTGCAATGGAGCGTGAGGCTGTATTGTCCTAGCTGGAAGTCTCAAGGTTCATTTAAGCTGAGCTTTAGGTGGACGTTTTTCCCCCTGTCAGCTTGAGCTGGAGGCTTTTAGCATTTAAGCCAGAAGAAAAGAGAGCCGATATTACTGTACACTTTCAGCCTCATAAAATGAGACAGGTTTGTGTGACCTGAATTAGACAATGATCATCTGACTCCACTGCCATTTAGAGGTGATGTTCTTTCGTATTTGCTGTCTGTAATCTTTCTGAATGGGCATACTCTCAGATTCAGTATATTACAATGTCTTAACTCTGACCTGTTTTTACATTTGGCTCAATCTAAAAATCATCTTCTTAATTGTTTTTGCGCCATCTATTTAGTCATTATGCATAAATGTATGAGACAAATGATCATCCTGAATTTTGTTTTTGGTTCTTTTCTACAGCTGTCGGAGCAGCAACAGAAAGAGTTTGATAGTGACATCCAGCACCTCTCCTACTCTGCCTCGCCCCCATTCACCACTGCACGGACACCCAGGTAAAAGATATACCACTCCCTCCCCCTTATACAGGATGTGTTTAAAACCGTTTTGAGCTGTTTACCAAAAATACTTTTTTATGCATTTCATGCTCCCAATGTAAAATCTGTTCCAAACAATAGGCAGAAACATTATGCTGCCATACAAGATACTTTGATTTGCAAATTTCTTTGCAATGAGCTTAGTGGAAATAACCCAAGATGGAAGACAGAGTTGAGTAAATATCGATTAGAAATACATTTTATTTATTTAGATTATTTCAGCCACTTTTAAGGTGTCTTTTCTGTTAGGATGCTATCTTAGTAGGTAGCTGGCTATGTAGACTGTTGACATTTTACTAGACTCTGGACCAGAGGCATACAGACTGCACAGCACACACTTCACAAGTATGCTTCACATGCTGTTTGTCTTGTCGCACAAAAAAATGGAAAGCTGTGGGGCAGCTGCTCACAAAATATTATATCTTCCTAGCAACCATCACATCTCAGTTTGCCATTGAGTAATTCTAATGTGGTGCAGGGATTTCTCATCTAATTCATGGGCATTATGAATGGATTGACAGTTGACATTTTGTAATACAATTTCTCTGTATGCCTCCTTAGGGATTGGCAGATTTGTACTTTCCATCTTGTCTGAAATACGTCATTCTGAGTTTGAAAATCTTCTTATTAATCTTTCCCTGTAAAACATGAGGCATGATCAAATCCATGTGCTATACATACACACAGACTAGACTAGTGTGTATGTTAGGAGAAGATAATTTTAAGTTATCATAGAGATGAGATGAGTTATTGTCAGTTGTGTATGAAGTGGGTGCGTGCATTGTCCATGAGAGTAAGCAAACATTTTCATTTTACAGAAGCACAAATGACAGTTGCTCTAATGGGGGCATATTTGCTGTTCAATTGTCCTCTACCTGTGCATTTAAATAACATTAAATGATCATTTAAGTAGCCAATACTCTGTGGATAATAACCCCACAGTTAAAGGACCGTTATTTAGACTGTAAATCTGAAGAACTGCTGTGAAAATAAGCTAAAGAGCATTTCTAAGAAGAGTAATTACGAAATGTTTCATAAGGAAAGAATGTATGGGTGGCCAAAAGAAGCAATTAGTCACATATCAGGGTTTTGCCAAATAACATAATATTGACCCATTTGTGATGTAGGAAAGATACTTTGTGGACAGTAGAAACCAAGATATAGCTTTTTAACTGAAATTCAATACGATTTACTTGGTGAAAAATCTAATATCTAATATAGACCACAAAACACTATCTACAGTGAATTATGGTGATGGTAGTTTCATGCTTTGGGCACTAGCCATTTTATTAAAACAGAAGGAAGAATGGATGGTGCAAATTATGGGGAATCCTCTGTCCACTAATAAACTTGGAGTTTGAAGCATTTCAACATGGTAGTGACCATAAACACTAGTTATTGCTTAAGTTCAACTTGTTAACATTAGTTAATTCATTGATTATGTTATTATTAACTACAAATGAACAATACAACAATGCATTTATTTGTGTTAGTTTATGAATATACTCTTGATAATTCACATTAATATTTAACTTAACTAAATGCTTTAAAATTTTCATTGTTAGTTAATGATACCTAATGCATTAACTACTGTTAGCAAAATTAGCCTTTTTGTAAAATGTTACAGCTTACAACTTTACATTAAATACTTTCAGTATTTTGTTTAGAATATTGTATATGTAAAACATATTTTAATGTATTTTTAAATGTTTTATAATTATAAAACTAGTTTAAGTGTGTAAAAATATCAATACGATATATCAGAGATTTGTCATTCAGAAAACCAAGAGAAATGGATAATATTTTGCAAAGCACTATGTAACACTTCAGTTGTGACAGTAATGCTTTAATAAAGCTGAAGCTGGTAATAAAACACTTCATAAAAGTGCTGCTGCTCCAGTGGGTGTATCCCTTGTGTCACTTCCACATTGCCACGTGAGTTTTAATGGAAACACTGATTGTGTTGTCCCTACTGCATCAAGCAGTTTGGGAGGCATCACTTGAATCTGTGTGCTTGCAATTTTTAAATGAACAAATCTAAAATGGAATATTAACCCAAATGCGGCTTCATTTTAAGCACTTCAAAGTAGGGCTGGGCGATAATTCGATAACGATAATTATATATTATTCTTCAAAGCCATTAGCAGCATTCTAATGCGACTGCCAACAGAAGCAGCACAGAGGCTAAATTATTTCAAACTCAACTGTGCACAATCAACAGGGGGTTTGCAGTGCCACACTGCACTCATTACAGTCCGTTTCAGGAAGCTGTTTGCCAGTTTAGACACCAGCAGCAGCACAAGAATTAAATACTGCAGTACTTTGTGAGGTGTCATTATGCTTAAGACAAATGGAGAACTCACTACTACTGTGATCCTGCTGTTTGTGTAAGCATATTAGATTGATCTGTGTAAAAAAATATATATTTTTAAATAAATAAATAATAATAATAATTAATCACTGTGTGGGGGTAAAACATTTTGATCTGTTATATATTTAACCGTTTAACTGTTTTAGCAGCAGGTTTTTTTTGTCTTTTTCTTAATTTGCTGGCCTGCTACCTAGCAAAGCCTATTAACATGGTGTTTATCCAGCACCCTTTGTCTATTCAAGCTCTAAGTTTTCCTCCATATTTTTTTTTTATTATTATTAATTATTTACATTTTTTTAATTAATACATTTCATACTATTCCTTAATATGATATGTTTACTATTTTGTAATATTTATGATATTATTATTATTATTAATTCAAAGAACTTTGGACTTTCACTCTTAAATTTATTACCATTAGTATTTTAACACTTTTCAATGCAAGTGTCACAACATTTGATCTATATAGTAATTGTCTATATAGTAATTTTATTTTTTGGAACTTTCTGTATATTACTTCATATTGTGCAATATATACATTGATATGAGTCAAGGAAGGATAAATTAAGCATGCAGTTATGAAGAATGCCGAGTTAAAATGACTAAAACAATGCATGAATATCGCTGTGTTCATATTAAAGTCACATTTTTAAAAAATCTATATGTTTATTTTCCAAAATGTCAGATTCTGTGTGATTTTTCAGACTATCATCCAAAAACCTCATCCGTACCACATTCAGCTGTGGTGTGAATATAGCATGTGTGATTCAACTGGGTGCTGATTAGTTTTCTTCTCTCAGCTGTGCATTGTATGAGAAAGTGTCTGAATTTTTTAAAAATCAATATGTTTATTTTCCAAAATGTCAGATTCTGTGTGATTTTTCAGACTATCATCCAAAAACCTCATCCGTACCATATTCAGCTGTGGTGTGAATATAGCATGTGTGATTCAACTGGGTGCTGATTAGTTTTCTTCTCTCAGCTGTGCATTGTATGAGAAAGTGTCTGCATCTCTTTAGCGAACCCTTCATCCACTACAGTCTTCGTGATGAAAAATAAGCTGGTGCTTCACTGTGTAGCACACCATTGTGCCATCTCCCACTCTCTCAGTGACTGGATTCTCCTTGAAATAAATGCATCTCCGTGACAGATCCACACGGCTCCGTGTCCCAGTCCAGCTGTGCGCATCTGTTCCTACAGTCACTTCCTGACAAAGAATTATGCTCTCATTAATATTTAAGATTTGGCATAGGCCGCTTGACTAAATGCATTAATGCATGATTAATGCATGGGGGATTGTGACCCGAGCCGTTCCACACAGTCCAGATAGGAGCGCCCCATTGCTCAGATTTACTGGATTGATTGATGATACCTGTATCTATGCTCCTTAATTCACACATGACTAGCACTAGTGGTTTTTAGAAATGAATGCATCTCCGTGACAGATCCACACGGCTCCGTGTCCCAGTCCAGCTGTGCGCATCTGTTCCTACAGTCACTTCCTGACAAAGAATTATGCTCTCATTAATATTTAAGATTTGGCATAGGCCGCTTGACGAAATGCATTAATGCATGATTAATGCATGGGGGATTGTGACCCGAGCCGTTCCACACAGTCCAGATAGGAGCGCCCCATTGCTCAGATTTACTGGATTGATTGATGATACCTGTATCTGTGCTCATTAATTCACACGACTAGCAATAGTGGTTTTTAGATCACATTTTCTTCTTTTTTTTTTTAAATCTAGTAACATGACTCATAGCTGTCATGTATGCCTTAATCTATTAGCTATACTCTTTATGCATTTCATCTTAAATTGTGATGTAAAAATGTACCACACTGTGAAAAAGCCCAGGGCACACCATTGTGCCATCTCCCACTCTCTCAGTGACTGGATTCTCCTTCTCTCAGTGACTGGATTCTCCTTGAAATAAATGCATCTCCGTGACAGATCCACACGGCTCCGTGTCCCAGTCCAGCTGTGCGCATCTGTTCCTACAGTCACTTCCTGACAAAGAATTATGCTCTCATTAATATTTAAGATTTGGCATAGGCCGCTTGACTAAATGCATTAATGCATGATTAATGCATGGGGGATTGTGACCCGAGCCGTTCCACACAGTCCAGATAGGAGCGCCCCATTGCTCAGATTTACTGGATTGATTGATGATACCTGTATCTGTGCTCATTAATTCACACGACTAGCAATAGTGGTTTTTAGATCACATTTTCATCTTTTTTTTTTTTAAATCTAGTAACATGACTCATAGCTGCCATGTATGCCTTAATCTATTAGCTATACTCTTTATGCATTTCATCTTAAATTGTGATGTAAAAATGTACCACACTGTGAAAAAGCCCAGGATATGAAATCTTCTCGCCATTTAAATACCACTGGAATAGAGATAAAGAGTTAGTTCTTAGCAAAATCCCCTGAATATGAATTTGAGCTTGCATTAATCAAAAAAGTATTCTTTGCTCATGGTCTGCAAATCATTAAATAACATTCATTATGCAATATCACTCCACTTGAGGGATTTACTGGATTGATTGATGATACCTGTATCTGTGCTCATTAATTCACACGACTAGCAATAGTGGTTTTTAGATCACATTTTCTTCTTTTTTTTTTTAAATCTAGTAACATGACTCATAGCTGTCATGTATGCCTTAATCTATTAGCTATACTCTTTATGCATTTCATCTTAAATTGTGATGTAAAAATGTACCACACTGTGAAAAAGCCCAGGATATGAAATCTTCTCGCCATTTAAATACCACTGGAATAGAGATAAAGAGTTAGTTCTTAGCAAAATCCCCTGAATATGAATTTGAGCTTGCATTAATCAAAAAAGTATTCTTTGCTCATGGTCTGCAAATCATTAAATAACATTCATTATGCAATATCACTCCACTTGAGGCATTTTTGTTGGACGGCCTGTTGTCTAAAGTACTTAAACACTGTAAGTGCTTTACTCTCTAAGCTCTAATCTATTCTCAGAGAGCTGTGCAGGAGAATAGAAAAGACCGTGATCAAAGTGTGTTTTATCCCTGTACCTCTGCTCTCAATGTGGCCTACATAAGAAGCCCACTCTTCTAAAGGGTTTTGTTACCTTAAAAGGACTTTGATGCATAAAATAAATGGGAAAGATCAGCAGGAAAGAATAGGTAAGAACCTTAGGGTAATTGCTTTTTACTTATGATGGGCATAATGTGGCCTGAAGTATGAAGTCTGTGCTTATTTCAACAGTTATTTGTAACAGTCTGGGCTGATAATGGGTAGTTGAACTTGATTTTTGTAAACAATTCCCTAAATGTAACATTTTTGGTCTCTTTCAGGAAGCAGCCCATTGGACAGCCCACGTAATTTCTCTCCAAACACTGCAGGCCACTTCTCTTTTGTGCCCGCTCGCAGGTGAGTGAAGTCGAAGGTCAATCTCCCACAGTTTATTAGTTTATCTTATACAATATACAAGACATTTAATTGTAAAATATTCCACATTCTGGAGTGAGTTTTAATACAACTTTTTTACAGTCTTTTAAAATGTTTCCAAATTAAAGTTTGAGCAAGTAATACATCTTTGCTCCTTTTGCAAATATTGTTTTCATAGTTTGCTTCTCATCTGCAGGTTATTAAGCAACCCACTTTCAATCAATTTGTAATCCTTCACTGTGGCTATGAATAATGACACCAAGAATGTTAACGAGTGCATCTGAATTGGTAATTGAGCAGCAAAAGATGGTAATGCTTTAACAACTGGGAGAGAACACACAGAGCTGATGACCCCAGGATTAATTAAAAGGATTCGTTTGAATGTCAGCCATAGAGCAAGACCATTTGAGTCATTCAGTCCAAAACACTCATGGACCAACAGTGCCACCTAATGGAAACAGTACAGCACTATAATAATGCAAATGGTTTTACAGATAAGAATCCAGTCTGGGTGTATATGAATTCTGCGTCCACGTGAGCAAGAGTTTTTCACTCAAAGAGCAGTCATGAAATAGTGAGGGATGCGTTAGATTAGTTTGCGTTAGTGCAAACACACACATAGATGCCCTCACAGTAGAATCACTTTTTAATGCTTTACTCTCTTCCATACAGCCATGGACACAGGGCTGACAGGTAATAATTACCCACTTCCCTTACAACATAATTTCCTGTGTGTGCTTCCAGCATGGCTGTTTACTCCAACCATCATGTTTCCATTTCATTAGAGCTGACAGTCAGATCTGTTTAAAAACATCTCAGACAACTTCATTTATGTATCGGAAAGATAAATTATTAATCATCCCACCTCGCTCAGCTGGCTGGATACAAAAAGCTTGACTGTGTGCTTAGAACTGATATATCATCTTCAAAAATATTCCACAGATTTCTGTGCTTTGCATAAATCATTTTATTTTCCACAAAAATAAATAAATACTTTTCGCAGTTAAAAAAAGAAAAGAAAAGAAAAAAATATGGCAACATTTTGGCTATGTGTTTTCTTGTGGAATATTTTTGCATCAAAATTATTTATGATTATGTGAACTACCAATCAAAAGTTTGGTTTCTGTAAAAAATGTTTATGTTTTTGAAAGAACTAACTTATGCTCACCAAGGCTGCATTTATTTAATCAAAAATACAGTAAAACTAGTAATATTTTGAAATATTATTATAATTGTAATATTGTAGAATTTAAAATAACTGTTTTCTATTTCAGTATATTTCAAAATATAATTTATTCCTGTGATAGCTTATAGAGTTTTCAGCGGCTTACTCCAGTGGTCAGTGTCACATAATCCTTCAGAATTCATTCTAATATGCTGATTTACTGGTCATTAAACATTTATTATTATTATCAGTGTGGTAAAAAGTTGTGCTGCTTAATATTTTTGTGGAAACAGATAGTTTTTTAATTCTGTGATGGTTAAAAATAGCAAAAGAACAGCATTTATTTGAAATAGAAAACTTTTGTAACATTAAAAATGTTTTTACAGTCACTTTTAATTAATTTGATGCACCCTTGCTGAATAAAAGTATTAATTTATTTCAAAAAAGAAAGAAAGAAAGAAAATGAAAGAAGGAAAAATAAAAAAAAAATCTTCCTGACACCAAACTTTTGAACACTAATGTGTTTATTTGCTTGTTTGCTTATTTGTGATTGATATTAAAATCATTACAGTCTTGTGTATGTTTTGCGCAATGCACATTTCAGTCAGAGGTCAAACAGATTAAAGTTCCTTATTTTGTCAAAGTAAAGGGACGCTGATAGTCTGTTAAATTCCTAATGTCAGTCATCATTGGTTTATGTGCTTGAGTGATAAGTGAACGTGTTGCTGTTGTGTGATGAAAGCCATCATGCCACGTAGGGCAAATTCACACTGTGCTATTTGCATGAAAAGACTTCATATGTGTATCTGCAATAAAAGTACGTGTAAGTTCCTGTGCGGGCAGCTTAGCCGTTATTGCAGATGCTTATGGCTCTTGTATGCAAGCCTTATTGAGCTGCACAGTTGAATGTAACAATCATCATTATTGTTTATTGTTCAAATGTCAGTTATTGTGGACATTTTAATCGGTGGTGCTTTATTCTGCTCTGATCGTGAGATATTTTATCGTTGCTCGCCTGAATGTTCCTAGTGCTGCTTATTTCTACTGGTCCTGATTACTTTGAAGAATATCTGCAGTGATTTGTAAAGAACAAATTTTCACTTTTCCCTCATCCACTCTTTTAGGACGGATGGTCGTCGCTGGTCTCTCGCCTCTCTGCCATCCTCTGGCTATGGAACCAACACCCCAAGCTCAACAGTCTCGGTGAGTGTCTGTGTGTGTTTATGCTCATGTTCTTTCTGTAGTCCCTCTGTGATGTATCAACCCCCAGATATATGCATCACTGTTTGGTATTGCATTTGATTCCAAGCCTTAACTTACCCAGAAGTTTTATCCTATTGACCCTACAGTGGGATAAACTCTAGGTACAAAGCAGCTCCCTTTAGCCTGAAGTGAAGCCAGTGGCTTCATGTCAGTGCATTCACTTCAAAAGAGTTCTGTCCCCGAAAATTGACTGTAACTCAGTCTGGCTGTTGCTTTCATTGGGGAATCAGCTCAAACCTCACAAGCCCCATTCTCTGCAGAAAGATAAAAAGACATTTTCTTGTTTAGGCCAAATGTTTATACTAAAGGCTGCAGAGCTTTTATTCAACTCTAAACAAAAGGGGGAAAAATCTACTGATTAAGAACAAATGTCATTTTTTAATTGGGTGAAGCTCACAAAAACGGAAATAAGAAATTATATTATAAAGAAAATGGAGCCTATTGTTATGGTCATTGAGATTTTTTACAATGTGACATTAATGGCAATTATCATTATGTATTATAGGAATGAGAATGATTTTTTATTTTATAGTATTAAATTAATAAGAAGTTAAATAATGTCACAATGCAAAAAGGCTTAATGGTCCTCAAATTAGGCTTCACTTTCTTTATGCAAAATATAATTCGTAACTTATAAATTGAAAATTAAATTTTATATATATATATATATATATTTATTACTGTAGCTAAATAAGTCTTTTATTTTCAGTATTTTTTGCATTTGGCCTGAAAGTTTTTAGGAAAATTTTCTTGCCAAGAGCCAAATTAACAATCAACAACATTATGCCAACAAAGGCAGCTGATTGACAGTCGGGCAGCCTATGCAATGCCTTCTATCCTTGTAATCCCTCCCTCTCTGCTTCTCACAGTCATCATGTTCATCTCAGGAGAAGCTGCACCAGTTGCCCTTCCAGCCCACTGCAGATGAGCTGCATTTCCTCACCAAACACTTCAGCTCGGAGAGCATCACGGATGAGGATGGGAGAAGATCTCCAGCCATGCGGCCACGCTCCCGCAGTCTCAGGTACAGTTACTTACAGATTCCCATTTCACAGCAATCAAAAGTTGCCCTTCAAGTGAACATGATTTTGTGAGTCTGTGATGTCAGCTGGGCCCTTCTGGCTCTCACTCTTAAAGGCCAAGTCTTGAGCTCTGACAGGAAACTACCACACCTCATTCTTTGACTCCTCCAAGGTAGCACACGTTATTCAGCCTGTGTGCCCTTCACATTGATGCATCTTCGCTCCTCTGCCTTCACACTTATTAACTACTATTGCTTCTCTCTGCCTGTCAATGTGTATCCAAGTCATATTTCAAATATTTTTGTTATGAAAATAATATCTAAGAAATATGTCACGCTATCCAAAAAAATAAATCCATAAATAAAATCTGAATGGTCCTACAATAGGCTTCAAAGTCTTTGTGAAATATAAAATATGCATATATTTTATCTTTTGATTTTTATGTGTGACCTGGATTATTCTTATCTACTCTCGTTCACTGCAGAAGAGTTGTGTGATTACTCTAGTAGTCACTCACACTTCTGCCCAGGACCTGACAGACTGAATCATTTCTTCCTCAGCGCTAAGAAAGAGACCTCCTTTATGAGCTTCTTATCTGTAAACACATCTCTCTTCCTCTCTGGCTCTTTCTCTCTTTCTGTTAAGATGACTTATTCAGGAAACACTGGCCTTGCCTCTTTTAGTATCTAGACACACTCAGCAGGGGGTTCAGCACTCCAGAATTAGATCCATAAATATTGGATGAAGTAGTGTGGTTTGCTGTTGCCACAGATTACATCTTCCCAGGATTATTCATTTCTACTGTTGAAAGAAGGGAGAGAAGGATGAAACGACTGGATGGAGGGGGAGATTAGATAGAACTGGTTAATTAGAGATGAGGAAATGGAGCAGTATTATGCTAATTTCACGCCGCGGACAACAGACATGCAGAGAAAATTAACGTGCAGTTAATCACATGCAGTGGTCATTCACAGTTCTCCATCATTCTTTCTCTTTACATCTTTCAACTCACTCAAACACGCACTCAAGGAGTAATGAGCTCAACGTACAGTGGTCACCATCCATCATCCATATGTCAAGTGATTTGGTAGCAGTAGCCGGAGATTAGAATATTATTTTAATAAAGAACTCAGTGACAGAATACATTGGACAGTTTCTGGGTTCCTTCTGGCTAGCCAAGCCATATTTTTTTCTTTAAATTAATATGTTAATTCTGATTAAACTTTCACGAAATGTAAAATCAGAATGTGTCTGAAATGACTACGGTGGTGCATGTGGCTTTGTTGGTGATGTCATCCAATTGTGTGTGTGTTTGTGTTTGTGCAGACTGTCACACCAATTAACTAGCTGATTTACCTGGTTCCCAGCTCCTCTGAGGGATTTAGAGGTCATTTCTGTGCTCAACTGTGACACATTTACACACTCTCTTCCCCTCCTCTGTCTCTCTCTCTCTCTCTCTGGCAGTCCTTTCCTTTGTTTGCCTTTTGTTCCATGTGATAGTATCTATCTCAGTCTTCACATACTTTTCAGAAAACTTTCAATTTTTTAGTTTATAAAGAAAGTATGAGAGGTGATTGCTTGTACAAAAATCAACACTATGATGTTGATAAAGAAATTCTCATCCAATAATTATGCTCTGTATGTATGTGTATGTATGAATACAATACAGACATAATGCACTACCGCGCTACAAAAGATATATTAGAAGATAAATGAAGATATTTTTGATCAAAGACTTGCAGCCTTGGTGAGTGTAACAGACTTCTTTCAAAAAAATGTACTGACATGGAAGTGCATTTTGCACTTCAGAATCTTTATGGAAGTAGTAGGTGATTCGGATATTGTCCGCTTCCAGTTTTGAGAATGCTGAATATTCAGACATACTACATCTGACATTTTATAGACTGCTTTTTGTGTACAATATATTAGGGCATGGGCATATTCGGACACAAAAATCTAAATTCCTTGGAAAAGTAAGAACATGGCTACCATTAAAAAGCTGTAACAGATTATGTAGGTATGTCAAAGTTTCATACTTAGAGTTGGGAATTTGTTCAAATATTGTTCCGCTCCTTTTGTACTTCTATTTCTCTTTTTATACTTTCTAACATATGTGAACACTCTTTATTCTTTTGCCCCTTAACAATAAGAATAGCTGTCCTTTCCTCGGTTATATCCGGTATGTTCCTGCACAGAACATATACAGTACATCTATTTCAGTTAAATCCATTTGGTTTAAAACGATAATGAGAACCTTTTTAAAAGGTCATTTCTCAAAAACATGATTATTTTTGGGGCTGCAAGGACATATCTGCGTCCATCAGAGAAAAATAATTGCATTCACTAATTATCATCTGTCTAAATGCAGAATGTTATTATGCCGCAGGAAGTTCACTTTGATTCTTTGCACGCACTAAATTCTTTATTTAATAAGAGGATTGCTCTAAGGCATTTTCTTTCTTTCATTTTCCCTTGTCTTTTCTCTCTACCTCACTCAGCAGGAGAAATTTTCTTAGTGTGATTGTTAATGCAGCTCCCTTCAACTGCAAATCAATCTCTGTCAGACTTAACCTTTGGATCGTAATTTTTGATTGAAATGGCTCTCAAGTAAGTTGAAGATTTGACTAGAATATTTCTCCCGTCTCTTATTGTTACTGACATAGCTGTAAATGAGCCAATTTAGTGTGTAAGTGTGTGTGTTGGCGCATTTCTCAACAGCACCCTGGAGGTTGATCAAATGTGCTATGGTTAGTATGTTTTCATTCAATCTGGAGGTCTAATAGGGAGCGCAAGCCTTCGATTGATGACTTACAGCATTACCTCATCCTTGAGGTCACATGACCTGCTTACCTTTACTAACAGGAGTGACTCATGCGGTCCTAGCTGCATCTGTAATCTGTGTCCCTGCTGTATCTCTCAGTATTCCCTGTGGAGCGTTTCTAATTAAAGATGCTACTTTGACATGAATGGATATGTCTGAAAATACAGGTGCTCCAGTCTATCATCCACATTAGATTATAGGTATAGGCCACCAAGCAACATCTGCTTGAAGGAAGAGGGACATTGTGGTTGAAAACATATGATTGGTTAAAAAAAGATGAATGGCTAAGTCCCATTTTTTTATTTCTTTCTTCACTTATTTTTGTTTCTTTATTCTCGTCTTCAGCCCTGGACGCTCACCCATATCATTTGACCATGAGATCGTCATGATGAACCATGTCTACAAGGAGCGTTTCCCTAAGGTGGGGTCTAAAACTGATGAACTTGCACAACTCAAGGACACTGGATAAGTCTCATTTTCACACAATAAAGTACTTTTTTGACATGGCATTGCTAGAGCATCAATACACATTGAAAAGAAAAGAGAGAAAAATTATTTATTATTAATAATAAGGTACCAGAATGTTAATAGTTAATGTTATCTGTATATAATATAAATTTATAAACAATAATAATAGTAACAATAATTATAAATAAATAAAATATACATTAAAAATAAATAAACACAATGTTTAAAATTAATTAAAATAAATAAAAACGGCAAGACAATAATTAGCATCAATGTGTACAGACAATAAATAATAGAAATGATAAATAAATAACTCTGTTGCTTGATATCTGTAAAAAAACTAAATCATTTTTTTTTAATCATTGCCTATATGCATAATATAAAAATAAATCAGACTTGCTTTATTTTTTAAATACAAGTTTGACATTTTTGTAAAAAATGTGTGTTTGAATAAATGTACAGTAACACATTGTGGATGGCTGGATACCTCTCTTTCTCCATGGCTTGGCCTTTGTTTCAACCCAGCCCTTACCAGGACCCTTCTGTCCCACAGGCTACTGCTCAGATGGAGGAACGGCTGGCTGATTTAATATCCTCCTCAGCTCCTGACAAAGTCATGCCTTTAGCTGATGGCGTCCTGAGCTTCATCCACCACCAGGTCATAGAATTGTCTCGGGACTGCCTGGACAAATCCCGTGAGGGTCTCATCACCTCCCGCTACTTCTACGAACTACAGGAGAACTTTGAGAAGCTACACCAAGATGTGAGTATGCAAAGATTACAGAGTACTACAGAGTATGTAGGAAGTTGTCGGCATTTATTTCAAAGGTATTAACTCCTTGTCATGCAAGGTCTTTCTTGTGGATCCCTAAACATAAATCCATGTCAGCCAAAGTGGTGATGTCATCACATCAGGGAAGAGGTCATCTCTGGACAGCTGGGCTGTCATAAACAACTCGTGTGATTTTGGTTCCCTGACGATCATTCGATCCCTTTCTTCTGTTGGGTCTGCGGTCACCTGTCACATCTGCATTAGTCAGGATACAGGTTGCTGATGTCTTGATTAGCTTAGTCACAATACCACAGGGGCAGCGTTATGACTCCCAGAGGTCCCATTCCAAGTCCACAAATCATGTGTGCAGGAATGTACCAGAGTGTGTGTTTGTTGTGTAGGGTTGGAATGGGGGGGAGTGCAGCACCTTCCTGATTTTAATTTCACACTCCAGTAACCACCACTGGTGACGGATGAGTATCCCAGGCACCCAAGAGGAGGGTGCAGGGAGAGAGAGAAAGGGAGGGAGTGAGAATGGAAGGAGGGATCAGGTCAGGTTTTCCCCTCTTTCGGTTGGTAGTCCATAACCATCTCGTTGCTGTTGCCTGCCAGAATCGAAAATGTGCACATTGTGATCTCATGCATTCGCCGAGCTATTGCCGCATCCATACTTGGCATTCAGGCGAGTATGGATGACATCATTCAGCCCGTGCTAATTGGCTGATTTAGTTTGGGAGCCGATGGTGACAGGTGGGCCAGACGGGGATCGTGGTATAAACCGCATCTTCAGCAGGTGTGCTCAGAAAAGCATTCCCGACTTCTCCGTTTAATGCTTCCTCACTCGCTCTGAGGATGTCCTGCGTTTCGTGGCAGAGGCGGCTGGAGGAAGAGGAGGTTCTTCAGCAGATTTTAGAGCGCTGGGAGCAGAGCACGCTCAGAAACCATGTGGATCTAACAGTTGAGTTCCTGATTGTTTTTGCTTTGCAGAGTTGCATTGAGTCAAGGTCATAGTCTGATAGATGCTGTTTTATGCTGTTAAATTGTGGACACACCAGTGGTATGACAATTTAACTCTCAAAATATGGACTATAACTAGACTATTTTTATGCCTGATAATTCACCTTCTATTGTTTACTTTAATCAAATAGTGAATTGTAGAACGTTTTTAAAATATTTGTCAGAGTATAGTATATGACACCTAAAACAGAATTTAGTCCATAATATAAGGGATGCACTGTTCTTAACATTCTGAGTGATACCAACAATATAATACAAATTTTTATTATATGACAGTGATTATAATTCTACACTATTTTGTATTGAAACTAATAATAATAATAATTAAAAAAATATATAAAATGTACAATTAAATGTCTGACAATATATATTTAATATTGACCAATACTAATAAATTAAAACAAAATCACTAATATTGGCTCATAACTGATATGGTACAGGTATATCTTGCACAGTTCCATTCATCTTGTCTTTTTCTTTTTTTTTTCTATAAGGCCTTTCGCTATTGACCTGCATTTTTCTTTGTCCTCGTTTATAGGCTTTATTTATTAAATTGGACATTTGTCTTAAGGTCAGACTAGTTTTACCTTTTTAAATGATCAGTCTATATCATTCAGTCTCCCATGGTTGCATCATTAAAAACCACAGGAGCCAATCTCAAGGCCGGGTCACTTAAGTGACCTGGCTATCACCATGACGTCTGGCCCTAGAGGAATCCTGAGGATCTTCTATCGACCTTATGTACGCTTGACCTTATTGACCTTATGTATAGCTGAGTATAGAGCATCTAATTTAATCTAGTTGTAGGTGTGCTAAACCAAATCACTCCCTCATCCCATGTCTCTCACTGCTGTTACTTGTCTGTCTACAGTGTATTTACTCAGTGTAGAGGCCCTTTATTATCCTGAGTGTGTGCGATTCACTGGCAGTTTCATTACCTGTATAAATAATTCAGAGGCTGATTAGACATCCCCTGAGGTGGCTGTGCTGTCTGTCAGAGATGGCTCTATTACTGTCAGCCAACCATCTACTCTGAACGGCTCTTCTCTATTCTATTGATGAACTCTCTCCTTTCTACTCCTTTTACACTGTTCCTTTTTATGTACTCTTTTTGTACACTTCATTTAACTATCCCAGTATCCCTCATTGTAGTGCTTTGAGTGTCAAAAATCTCGACTGATATTGCTTCTGATATCAGCTTCTTGCTCATTCGTCACTGTGAAAGTGGAAGGTCAAGTTAAGAACATTACATTTAGGATACAATATTCCACCCAGTGTGCTTTAATTTGTATTACGCTTATTTTGACAAATGTAGATAGATCATTAAGGTATTCAATTCATAAAGTACACAGATACATACTGACTACTGTGATTAGTATGTTAGTATGCTATTTCAAATCTATTGTTTTCTCTGTTTGTTGCTAGGCTCATGAGCGTTCAGAAAGTGGGGAGGTGACATTTGTCACCCAGCTGGTTAAAAAACTGATGATAATCATCGCCCGACCCGCTCGTCTGCTGGAGTGTTTGGTAAGCACTGATAATTTAAGGGACTCTAATCTGGACATTATTTGTACTGAGGCTTCAGTGCAAACTGCTTTTCCATAGTAAATGAAGCACATGCTTAGTACCATATAATTAAAAAGCTAGATTTACCTGGAGGAGATGTGCATGTTGAATCAAGGCCACATTGTAAACCTTCAAAATCCACAGTGATTTGACACCAGACATTATGGAACACGTAAACACAAAAGCTGACTTCCACACAAAACTACAGGGCTCCATGTCTTTGGCCACATGTGTATTTTGAGTAATCTTGTGTGTTCAGTAGTATGACAACATACAGTACAGCTCAGCACTGATGGAGAACCAGCAGCTGAGAGAGCAATGAGCTGTTAACCTTTTCTGCTTCATGTGTGCACAATGCATCACAAATATCTCAGTGTGGCACCTGGAGACATACCTGCCTCAATAAGCACACAAAAAATATTCTGAACTGTTCATTAAGTTAATGACAGTAATATTAGCCCTTGATGGGCCTTTTGTTTGTTTGTTTGGCTCTTATTTTTTCTGTTCTTTAATTTTTAAATGATAGTTTGTTAAAACACAGCATATGTGGCATTATTTCATCTTTTTGTGTGAATGACCCTGAATAAGAAGACCTTTTAGCCTGTTACAAAATGTTGATAAAGTAAAGATGAATGAATATAATGAATCCTATGAATATAATGATTATAAATATTTGACTGGAACTAGGATTAAAGAAACAAGTAATATCATAATTAAAAATTTTTGTCTGAAGTATTTGATGTTTGATCTATTCTGGACAGCATCAAAAATGTAAAAAAATATGTTATATGTTATAGAGCAGGGGTCGGGAACCTATGGCTCGCGAGCCACACCTGGCTCTTTTACAAAAAGCATGTGGCTCGCCAGATCTCTCACCCTTTACCAACAAATGATCTATTAAAAAATTATACATCACTAGAGATCAGCAATTCATTGGTTGTAGAGACTACATAAACTGATAAAATGTTTAAAATAATAATAAATGTTTTTGTACCGAAAAGTGCACGTTCAGTGCTGTTCGCGAGAGTCATAACAGCAAACTGATAACGTAGAGCTAATAAACTCAGATTCAAGCTGCTACGTAGCTTGTTTGTAGTAATAGCGAAAAGAAAGATTTTTTTGAACATCAGGAAAAAGTGTAAAAGTATGTTTAAAAAAAAAAAAAAGTGACAGTACTGAAACATACTTTGTTTTATAGAAAATGGTGTTCTCCTGTGCCAAGAGCCGAGTGGAACACGGAGAAGCATAGACTTTGGCCCTGTCCCAAATGGCACCCTAAACCCTCACGGTCTTCCTCTGAGTCCGCACTTTCGTGACGTAATGCCGCATTGACTGTCGGGTAAAAGTCTGCTGCGGAGCTCGCCCTAGCCCTGTCCCAAATGGAACACTTCATGTGCACTTGCTGTCTTACGGACTTACAATGGTTGCAGCGTTCGCGTGTCCGTTAAGTCCATGAGACCGTAGGGTGTCCCATTTGTCATTTTAATGTTCAGAAGGGTGCTCGCGAGTGCCCCCTTTGTGGCCGTTATGTGCCCTCGATTCGCACTTCTGCCGAGCCCACACCGGGGCGAGCTCCGCAGCAGACTTCTACCCGACAATCAAAGCGGCATTACGTCACGAAAGTGCGGACTCAGAGGAAGGCCGCGAGGGTTTAGGGTGCCATTTGGGACAGGGCCCCGGTGCGGGCTCGGCAGAAGTGCGTATCGAGGGCGCATAATGGCCACAAAGGGGGCGCCCTTTTGAATGCTAAAATGACGAATGGGACAGCCTACGGTCTCGTGGACTTAATCGACACGCGCACGTGGTGGCCATTGAGTCCGCAAGACCGAAAGTGCACATGAAGTGTTCCATTTGGGACAGGGCCTTTGTCTTTAGTGGCACCTATAATAATACACCTTTGAGGATGCCTCATGAAAAATAAACATGGTGTTACTTAAGTACTAAAATGTATTATTATTATTATTACCATGGTAAATTTGTGGTTACTGCAGTTTTAGTACAAATACTGTGGTTACTGTAATAAAACCATTGTTAATTTTTGTAAAAGGCTGCCAGGCTGTTGTTCCCCTAAAGGTGAAACTTTAGCATATTTTTTTCTGACAGATTTATTAACAGCAATTACAGAACATAACACAATCTATTTGAACTTTTAACAACCGGTTTAAATAAATTTACTTGCACAAACTAGCCAATTTAAAATAAATATTACATGTACACAAAAGTTTGGGGTCAGTAAGATTTTGTAATAGTTTTTAAGTATCATTCTCACCAAGGCTGCACTTATTTGAAAGAAAAAAAACACAGTAAAAACAGCAATATTGTGAAATATAACAATTAAAATAACTATTTTCTATTTTAATATATTTTAAAATGTAATTTAAAATGCATCTGTGATCAAAGCTGAATTTTCAGTAACAACCGGTTTAAATAAATTTACTTGCACAAACTAGCCAATTTAAAATAAATATTACATGTACACAAAAGTTTGGGGTCAGTAAGATTTTGTAATAGTTTTTAAGTATCATTCTCACCAAGGCTGCACTTATTTGAAAGAAAAAAAACACAGTAAAAACAGCAATATTGTGAAATATAACAATTAAAATAACTATTTTCTATTTTAATATATTTTAAAATGTAATTTAAAATGCACCTGTGATCAAAGCTGAATTTTCAGCATCATTACTCCAGTCTTCAGTGTCACATGATCCTTCAGAAATAATTATAATATCAATTGCTGCTCAAGAAACATTATTATTGCTACTTCATATTTGTGTGGAAACCGTGATGCATTTTTCAGAATTAATTTTTATTTATAGTAACAATGTTATGTAGGCTAATGTAATAATGTGGCAATGGTTTCTTAAGGTCTACTTATGCTTCTGATGCTTTTGGGAAACGCAGCCCTATTTAAACAAGCACTCTGAGCCATGCGTCAGCAGCGAACGCTGTCTGTGATTGATTGGTTTTGTCTTTCAGCATTTGCATGTGCTCCGATGAGCAGGAGAAATGGTTCTATCCAACACAATTATTCGCTAATATACTTAGCTTTTTTTATGCACCGAATTTCTTGATAAATAAAATTAATGGTTAAAAAATGCACTTTAGAATCAATATTTTTATGTGAGGATCGATCCTTTCGATACAACATCAGTATCGAAAGTATCAATACATAAGGATCAGTTTAGTTTAGAGGTATCGGTATCGATATCAGCGATACTGGGCTTGAAAATATCGGTGTCGGATCGAAAATAAAATAAGAGGTATTGCCCATCCCTAGCGCTTATTTGATTACAGCCCTTACTGGGGAAACTTCTATCTCTCCCGCTCTACAAGCGCCTCCTGCTGCCAGAGAATGAATTTGCATATATATGCTGCCACAAATAGAGTGCAAGTCTGTGGAAAACACCGCTTCTGTTATGAATATTATTCAAAATTTTAATTTGAATGTCGGATTGAAATGAGCATCGCTGTTATTAGAGTAGTTAATCGTTAGCATAAGTGCAGCTAACGCTAATATAATGAGCATTAGAATGACGTTTCTTTATTAACTATTTAATGCTCCTATAACGTTTATTAGGGTTAAAAAACAGTAGGACATGATGATATTTACTATTTTTACACACCAGAGGCTTTTAAATGAATTGTGAATCTAAAATATGATGATGTTGGAGAATGTACAAATGGTTAACATTGTTTGTGTCATATCCGTCAGAAAAGCAGTTCTGGGCTTTTTTTTTTAGCTAACTTAGTTATTCTTAGCTGAATAACTCTAGAAGGTTTTAAAAGCCCTTTAAAATAAATATGTACACAGTTTGGATTAAATGAAAGTATAGTCAAATTTTTTAATTTTTTTGTGTTTTGCTTTGGTACCGAAATTGTTACAGAGAACCGTGGATTTTCACTGGTATTGGTACCAAATACTGAAATTTTGGTACCGTGACAACACTAATATATATATATATATATATATATGTATATATATATATATATAGGACCATGTGTTATTTCAGTTTTTCTTTTTTAATAAATCTGCAAAAATGTCAACAATTCTGTGTTTTTCTGTCAATATGGGGTGCTGTGTGTACATTAATGAGGAAAAAAAATTAACTTAAATTATTTTAGCAAATGGGTGCAACATAACAAAGAGTGAAAAATTTAAGGGGGTCTGAATACTTTCCGTACCCACTGTATATATATATTGGCTCTTTTGGAAAAATGCTTTAACCAAAAATAAAAAAATTTGGCTCTTTGGTCAAAAAAGGTTCCCGACCCCTGTTAAAGAGTAACATTTCTAGAATAAATTAAATGATTGGTGATTGATGTCAAATTTTAATCTTCATATCATGTGAACCTCATACTCCTTGTGTATGTTGTAGGAGTTTAATCCAGAGGAGTTCTACCACCTGTTGGAGGCTGCTGAAGGTCATGCTAAAGAAGGTCAGGGCATCAAGTCTGACATCCCTCGATACATTATCAGTCAGCTGGGCCTCACCAGGGACCCCCTTGAGGGTAGGAATGCTACCTACAGTGACCTCAAAAGCATATGAACACTAAGCTATACTTAAAAATTGTATGAGATGCAAAAAAAAAAAAATCAGACTGTGGCATCTGCAGAAAATAAATGCTAGTTGGTTTGATATTTTGTTATCTAATGCATTGGCATACATTTTTAGGTGTGACATAAGTGTTCCAAAGCTTTTGGGGATTGTATGAAGCAACTCTGTTATTATTTGTTTTGCAGTACTAAATTAGGAACTACAATGACATTTATGATGTTTTTCAATGACACCTGCACACTTTCATTCCCTCTTTTTGCTCTCGCTCTCTAGAAATGGCCCAGCTGAGCAGCTATGACAGCGTTAACCCTGAAACGCCAGAGACAGAGGCAGATTCCACAGATGTGTGTAATAGAATTGAGAAGTCTTCAATGATTCTGTACAATAACATTCAACTAAGACCAAGTGTTTGTGTTCATGTGCAGAGTCGAGGAGCCACCGTACAACCACTCCAGCCTCAACCCAAAACTAAAACTCCACGTGAGGAAGACTTTGAGACCATTAAACTCATCAGTAATGGAGTCTATGGGTAAGACAACAGGATTTTACTGTCACATCAATGATAAAAAATGATAAAACCTTTGAAATTTGTCATCTATTGGCTCTCCATCACTCTTTGTCTTTAATAATTGTAGAGTTAGAAGACAGTTAAACAGTTAGAAGCTTAATAGTGATGCATACCTCTCTCCACTTAGGGCTGTGTTTCTGGTGAGGCATAAGGAGACCCGTCAGCGATTTGCCATGAAGAAGATCAACAAGCAGAACCTGATCCTGCGAAACCAGATCCAACAGGCCTTTGTGGAAAGAGATATCCTGACATTTGCAGAGAACCCTTTTGTTGTCAGTATGTTCTGTTCTTTTGAGACAAGGAGACATCTTTGCATGGTTATGGAGTATGTGGAGGGTAAGAAACACTTGTACAACTTTGGGTGACTACGTTCATGGAGGATTTCAGTATAGGATACACCACAGAGTGATGCTGTAGTTGAAAGTGTTTATGTGTGTCTGAAGGTGGAGATTGTGCCACTTTGTTGAAGCACATTGGGGCTCTGCCTGTGGACATGGTACGCATGTACTTTGCTGAGACTGTTCTAGCACTGGAATACCTTCACAATTATGGCATTGTGCACAGAGACCTCAAACCTGACAAGTAAGCACACGTAACACCAAACCACTGTGCTTGTAGTTGACTTTCTATCATTGATTTAAGGCTTTTTATTTGTCCTTTAGATTCCATCTCACTTTCAAAGAATACAAAAACATGCTTGATAACAGATCAGTTGGCTTTGGTTTAGACAGCAATTTTTTTAGATGGATGGATGGCCTTTTTATATTCACTGATGTCAGAATAAAGAATGGCCTGTTTTTCAACAGTCTGCTGATTACATCAATGGGACACATCAAACTGACAGACTTTGGCCTGTCCAAGATTGGTTTAATGAGCTTAACAACCAATCTATATGAGGGCCACATTGAAAAAGATGCCCGTGAATTTCTGGACAAACAGGTACAGAAACTTTGTATTTTGTCTCTTGCATTTGTTGTTTATTTATTTATTTATTTTTGTTAATAAAAGGATACTCTTTCTTTCTCTCTCCATCAGGTGTGTGGTACTCCTGAATACATAGCTCCTGAAGTCATTCTGAGGCAGGGCTATGGAAAGCCAGTGGACTGGTGGGCCATGGGAGTTATCTTGTATGAGTTTCTCGTGGGATGTGCTCCCTTCTTTGGGGATACGCCTGAGGAGCTGTTTGGACAAGTCATCAGTGGTTAGTGTCTAGAAGAAAGTGCAAAAAACAGTATTTTCTTAAAAATTTCATGATGAGAAACATTGCATACATTATACAAACATGAGTGCCCAAACTTTTGACTGGTATGTTATGTGATGTCAATTATCATTATTAGTCTTACTTTCCTAATCAGTGATAATCTTCTTTACTGGTCAGTAATTAATTTTGAAAAACTTAAGACTCCTAAAATCAGCCTATTCTTGTGTCATCTGTCTAAGATATAAAAATTCTCTGAAATCTGACCTGTGAACCTAATTCTGATGTTGTTGAGAGTCCTTCCAGAAATATGATTCTGTATGTGTGGTTCAATAGATGAGATAATCTGGCCAGAAGGTGATGAAGCTTTGCCTCCAGATGCTCAAGATCTCATCTCCAAACTACTGCGGCAAAACCCTCTGGAGCGTCTGGGAACAGGTCCTCTAGCGCACAAACTCACACTTACTTGCACAGACTGACTTGATCTATTCCCTGGTTTAGTCTTAAGAGGAGTGACTTGACTGATCTGCTGAGATTAATAGTGTATGAATAAACCTGAACAGAAAATCTTAAGAAGACTTTTTCTTTAATGTTATCCTATATCTCTGTTTTTTGAGAAATATTTGAAGAGATCTTCTCTTTCCCTGTCACACAGGGAGTGCGTTTGAGGTGAAACAGCACCGTTTTTTTACTGATCTGGACTGGAACAGTCTCCTGAGGCAGAAGGCAGAGTTCATTCCTCAGCTGGAGTCGGAGGATGACACTAGCTACTTTGACAGTACGTGTTCAGGCAGCAGGGACTGTAGTGAAATTTATAACAAGATACTTTATTCTCTACCTGCAATACAGATGCACACCACATGGGCCTACATTATCTAAAGCACAATTTGAAATCTCTTTCTTCGACCCGCTAGCACGCTCAGATCGGTATCATCACGTGGACTCGGAGGAAGAGGATGACACAAATGATGATGACCATCTGGAGATCCGTCAGTTCTCCTCCTGTTCACCACGATTCAGCAAGGTGTGAAGTAACACATGCTAACACTCTTAACGACAGCAAAAACAATGATATAAGACATTCAATTAATAGTTTATGTATTAATAATACACAAAATAAATAATTATGCCAAGTAGTATACAGTAGTTCAAAGCAGGGTGAAGTATAATAGGGCATATGGATAGCATATATAGGATAGCAAAATAGAAGTTGTAATTATAAAGACATGGTATCAGTTCTGCTTAATTTTAAGTTTAATCTAGTGTCCTCAGCAGTTTATACTCTTTATAACTTAATCTGTCTTATTCTCTCCATCACTCCCTGTCGGTCTCTCTTTTTTAGGTGTATAGTAGTATGGAGCGTCTTTCCTTGCATGAGGAGAAGCGCACCCCTCCTCCCACTAAACGCAGTCTGAGTGAAGAGGGAGGAGAGCGTATCAACAGTCTCAGTGGCCTAAAGTCTCGAGATCGGAGCTGGCTGGTGGGCTCACCTGAGATGTGAGTGAAACACCTGAAGTTATTCTGATAAATAAATCATAGTTTTCATAGTCAGATATTTCTGAAAAATATACAGCTATGTTTGTTCAACATGGTGTAAGGAACTGGTCATTTGGTCTTTTGTAGCCTAAGGAAGCGACTCTCTGTTTCTGAGTCATCTCACACCGAGAGCGACTCCAGCCCGCCTCTGACCGTACGTCGCCGCTGCTGCTCGGCCATCATTGAAATGCCTCGATTCGCCATTTCCAGCGAAGAGGATGGCGGTGTGGGGGGCAGGAAGACCCATGTGAGGGGACCTCGGGGGGAAGATCTGCCTCAGGCCATACCAGAGCTCCCTGTGGAGAGAGAGCTCAGACTGGATGAATCGCCAACCACACCAGGCTCCACTTCCAGACAGATCAGCCGTTCCACACTCACACGTCAGTCTTGTGGAATTATTCTGGGGACTAGTACTTTCAAATGTTAAAAATATTTTTAAGACTATGTATTATTAAGGCCCTAGACTAAATGAATGGGATTTATGATTTCAAATAACAACATATTGATCCATTCTGAGAGTTTGCCATTTCCTGTAGACATATCTATAATTTTTCGTATGTGTGATTTCAGCTGGTGGTTCTGGTGATGTGTTGGATCGAGCTTCTCGCTACAGTGCTGAAGGATCTGAAAACTCCACTCCTAAAGCCATCAGTGATTTAGCAGCTCGTAGAGCTCGCCACAGACTGCTGTCAGGAGATATGGAGAAACACACGTCACGCCCACTTAACAAAGTCATCAAGTCCGCTTCAGCAACTACACTTTCACTCATGATCCCTGCTGGTAAGTAAAAATAATTGATCATCATGATTTTGCCATGCAAGACTTGTTCTTTTGTTGGTCCTTAAACAATAGGATGATATGACGATAGGTTAACAATCCTAATTCTTTTGCAATGCTTATGATTTGTTAATAAAAATATTGTGCCAGGACGAACATGGACCATGTCTTACTAGTCACTTTATTGTATTGGCTGTCTCTATCTTTTGAAAGAAATGTATGTGGCAGTCTATCATACTTTAACTGAGGTGCAATTTATTTTTTTCTTGTTTTTCAGATCACCATGGTGCCTCTCCTTTGGCCAGTCCGATGTCCCCTCATTCTCTCTCGTCCAACCCCTCATCACGTGACTCCTCGCCTAGCCGAGACCTCTCCCCAGCCATCTGCAGTGTCAAACCCGCCATAGTCATTCACCGAGCCGGCAAGAAATATGGTTTCACCCTGCGTGCCATCAGGGTTTACATGGGAGACACAGACATTTATACTGTGCACCACATGGTCTGGGTGAGTACGGCAGATCCAGTTATTCTCCATGATACAGTTAGACTGCACCAATTTGTGGTTTTGAGTGCTCTAACATATGGCTTTGCAGCACGTGGAGGATGGGGGACCTGCTCATGAGGCTGGACTGAGAGAAGGAGATCTCATCACACATGTTAATGGAGAGCCTGTCCATGGACTCGTGCACACAGACGTTGTAGAGCTCATTCTCAAAGTACGTCGACAGCTACAATCTGATGAGCATTATTGCTTTAGAAATGATTGATATTCAGGTTAATTTCTTTTTATGTTGCAGAGTGGCAGTAAGGTGTCCATTTCTGCTACGCCCTTTGAGAATACATCTATTAAGGTTGGCCCTGCACGCAAAACCAGCTACAAGTCCAAAATGGCCCGGCGCAACAAAAGAACCAAAACCAGAGAAGGACAAGATAGGTGAAGTTTAACATTTACCATGAAATCCAAATACCTATGTCTCACAGAGTTCTTCTGATTTCAATTCCTCGGGCTTACATTTGCTGTCCCATTAATGGTTTGTATATACTTATCTACTACAGTAAGAAGAGAAACTCCCTGTTTCGTAAGATCACCAAGCAAGCGACCCTTCTCCACACCAGTCGTAGCCTGTCCTCTCTGAACCGCTCAGTCTCATCAGGTGAAAGTGTCCCAGGGTCTCCCACGCACATGTCCCCTCGTTCACCCACGCAGGGCTGTCGTTCCACTCCTGACTCTGCCCACTCAGGTGAAGCCTTTATCTCTTATATCAAAACAGTAATCACAGTAGCAAACAGTATTTAAATATTTTTATATACATCATACAAACCAACTACTGCCAATGTGATTTTATACACAAATTGCTGTGTCAAATCATGTTCTCATTTAATTTAACATTGTGGCGTCTACAGACAATATTGTAATTACCGTATTGACCCTAATATAAGACAATGTTTTTTTCTTGGAAATACATCTGAAAAAACACGGTCGTCTTATATTCAGGGTCTAGACTTTGACATGTCAATAATACACCCACAACAATAGGGGGCGCCAAATACGCATAAAACGAGTGTGCCATGAAATACGTAATGTAATGCGTGTTGTAAAGATCGAGAGTAAAAACAAAAGAATAAGAAAACCTTACAGCTGCATGAGTCGTGACTGTCACATTAGCCCGATGGGACCAAACTCCCTTTGCGATTTTAAAACGCAAGACAGTACCCAGATTTGAAGACTACAGTAAGATTTAACTTCTACTGTTAATAAGATTTTGGTAGGCTACTATTAGATGGATAGCCTAAATGTCCTAATTCAGATGGGCTACCGTTTTTTTTTTTTTTTTTAATGTTATATCAAAAAGTGTATATATTTTAAATGTGATTGTTGGTACATTTTACCAGTTTTTACCATACTTTCAAAACAAAAATTAAAATAGGAAAAATATGGCATATGAAAATAATTGAAGACAAAATGTGTTTTACTGAGAAAAAACAAGATTTGGTTTTTAAAAAGCCTTTTTCCAAAAGGTACATCTGGAAAAAGGGAGGTTGTCTTATAATCAGGGTCGTCTTATATTCGGGCCAATACAGTAGTTTCCCATAATGTAATCAATATCATGTCTCAAGCCATTTCATTCATCTTCATATTTCTTTAATAAGTTTAATCTTTAAACTTGAAACTTCTCTTTCTCTAATGCAGTTGGTGGGAACTCATCCCAAAGTAGCTCACCTAGCTCCAGTGTGCCAAACTCTCCTGCCAGTTCTGGACAGATCAGACCCAGCTCTTTGCATGGTCTGGCTCCCAAACTGCAGCGTCAGTACCGCTCCCCCCGCCGGAAGTCCGCAGGCAATATCCCCTTATCCCCTTTGGCACGTACACCGTCGCCTACCCCTCAAAACACCTCCCCACCGCGTTCTCCTTCGCCCCTGCCAAGCCACGCGCTCATCACCTCTTCAATAGGCCAGTCTTTCCCTGTCAAACTCCACTCTTCACCTCCATTAGTAAGACAGATATCCCGCCCAAAGAGTGCAGACCCTCCTCGCTCTCCTCTGCTCAAACGTGTCCAATCAGCTGAGAAGCTTGCAGCCTCTCTTTCTTCTTCATCCTCATCTCCTTCTCCGTCTTCTACTGCTGATAAAAAGCTACCAGTTGGTGCCAGCCGCAAACACAGTCTTGATACCTCACATTCAGATTTTAAAAAAGAGATGATGCAGCGAGACCCCAGTCTACAGAGCCTGCAGGAGTCAGCCAGTGAGACTCTAATGGGAGGAAGAATGTCTCCTGCAGAAAAGGGCAGCCTGCAGCCTTCAGTTCGTAAACTGGGCAGGCAAGAAGGTCCTGAGTCTGGAACTGGAACTCTGGGACTTGTTCCTGGGAAGAGTAAACTGAAAGACAAGCTGTCTGCCATTCGCCAGGATCGAGCTGAGCGCCGCGAGTCTCTTCAAAAGCAGGATGCCATCCATGAGGTGGACTCCTCAGAGGATGAGACAGACGAAGGGTCGGAAGATAGCCAAGATGGATGCAGGACAAGCTATGTTCCTCCTAGCCATGTCTTGAGGCCTACAACTGTAATGGCCTCTCCCCATACCATCAGGATGGGACCAGCAGCTCCACCGACACTGGGACTGACGCCCTCAATGGTTGCACCCCCAGGCTTACCTCAGCCCAGCCGAGGACTGCAGATACAAAGCCAAAGTACCACTCAATCTCAGACACAAACTTCAACCTCACTGTCAATGCAAGCTGCAGCCAAGCCCCCAGAACAGATTCCTACAACCTCTATTATGGCCCAAGACTCCAGTTCAACACTAGCTGAAGAGTCAAAAAAGAAAGACTTAAAGGCACAGGACTCTCAATCCAGTGTTAGGCCTTCTCCACCTCAACCCAGCCCTCTGTCCAGCACCTTTTCCACCCATGGTAGCGCCTTTACCTCTGTCAGCAAAGACCCATTCATCAAACCCACCACACCTCCGTTGGATCCCCGGAGGACCCCCAAAACTTCTGAGCCCAGGTCCAAAACCAGTGGTAAAATGGATCCTAGCACTGCTTCTGGAGTGACGAGGGATATCCCTGTTGCTACCACACCAACCGGAGGCATCTCAAAGGAGATGAAGGAGGCTGACAACCGCAGACAGGCTGCAGCTGCCTCTCCATCCACTGCCTCTGGGAGCGGAATGGACAAAGTTGTGTCTCAACTGGCCACAGTGGCTAAGAGTGTGCTTGGCCCAGTCAAACTCAACATCCCAGGTACTAAAGAGGCCTCAGAGCGGACAAAGGACCAGCATCCCCAGACAGATGCCACCCACCTGAAAATAAAAGAATGTCGCCTGGAACGTCCTGATTCTCCTGACTCTTTGAGTCCGTCTGCTGCTTCTGGCTCCCAGTCTCTACGGCTGACTGAATCTCCCTCTAAACAAACGTCATCCAAATCTGAGCCAGCCTCAACTTCTCAGAGATCTTTGGAGGTCCAAGGGACTTCCAAAAGGCCAACTGCTCCAAACTCCCAAGCCGGGGAAGAACATCAGGAGAAACCAGGGACTCCGCGAAGTGGCACCACACCAAGGCCAAGGTCTGAAGCACAATCTCAGGCCCAGGCAAAGTCTAGTTCCACTATTTCAAGAGACAAATCCAACAAGACAACGTAGCAGCCTTGCAGAAAGACTCATTTTCTCCAGCTTTAATTTAAATTGCCTATGACTGACAAATACACACTGTAACACAAGGCAGTTGTCCTGTTTAATGTCAGTGTTCATATGAAAAGATTGTGGAAAGATAAGACAGAGGAAGAGATGGAGGTGTTAACAGATGAGCCCAACAGCTTTATTTCAAAATGTTTTATGCTCTGCCATTCACTAAATAATTGAAGCTTTTGCTTCGAATTGTTTTGCTTTTCTTGTTTCTCCTTTTAAAGTATTTTTCTCAGCAGCTAGAAAACCTAGAAAAATGCTTGGGTCTGTGCCCTGAGAGACAGAAACCGTGTCCACTTACAGTATATTACCTCTTCATATTATCCTTATATTACTTTAAGAATCTTCTCTTGTAGTAGGTATAGTTGTGCCTTAAAGCAGCATTTCACGTATTTCTTTCTGCCTGTTCATTTTTAGAGGAAGACATATCGCAGCAATAAGAGTAGCGTATCCTGAGCAATTTTCACAAACACACAGTTTATTTCATCACACCTGTAGTATAAAGAATAAGTAATATAAAGAGAAACCAAACTGTGTTTTCCTTTTTTTCTCACTTGCACTTGTTTCAGCTTTTAATTGTCGAACAGCTGTGTGATGTATGTCTATGAAAATTCAACTTGAGATTTTCCCTTAGGCACAGCCGTCACTAATGTAATGTATATGGTAGCTGAAATTTGGATGTATAATGCAGAAGAATGGTGGCCAATAATTGCATGAATTACATCCAATCAGAATTAAAGATGTTATTAGAAATTATTTGGAATTACTCTGTATAATAAATCATGTGATCTTTGGCCATCATTCACATCCCACTAAAGTTATGTCAAGCTACATAGCTTAGCTAAAAACATTACTTGTAACTTGCACATCATTATGTCTAGACCGTGTTTGGTTTTGTCTCTGTTCAAGCGGACCATTTTATTTCTTCTTTAGCTTGCCTGTTTTATTTTCTCTTTCTCTTTTAATATCTGGACCAATTAGCTGTTGTCTCTGTATATTTGTTTGCTTTTTTTTGTTTCGGCAGACTTGTATCTGGAGTTTGTGTGTGTGCGCCTGTGTACAGAAGCATGTTTGAGTGTGTGTTTGTGTGGGTTCTTATATAATGTATATTTTTAAAAGTCTGTTATTTGTTAGTTTTATGCCCTAAACAATGGGAGTGTGTTTTTGATTGGTGTCATATCTTTGCCATATCAGCTCTGTCTGATTCAGCCCTTTGTCATATACCGGGCAAAGATGTATTTGCACAAAGCCTTTTTATTTTGTATGTCAATAATATGAAAACCAATAAATACAGTATCCAATTAGATCCCAGACTTGGTTGGGGTCTTGAGGGGTTTGACCAGTAAGTGAGACTGTGGTACGTTGTCATATTATCTTGACATAACAATGTGTTAACACCATAATGTATTTAAAGGTTAACCTGTGGAACTTTTAATGTTTTAACCACATTTTACATTTATAATCAAAACGAGTTGTCTGTATTGTGTTTCCACTCAGTTTACCACTTCATTTATTCTCATTGTTCAAATTTCAACATTTGCCTGGTATAAAAGGTCTAGGTGCTCACAGCAAGTCAATCTTTTTCCAACACACTCCTGCCCTACTTTTGGCCCTGCCTATATGGAAAATTAAAGTGTTTTTAGTTGGTCTTTATAACTGATTGTGATTGGAGTCACATGATGATGGTATGTACAGCTATGCTATACCCTTATTCATGTTTTGTCCATCTGAAATGCGAATGGATATCTTGCACATTTACGCTTCAAGGAATGGAGCTGTTGATCGCATTGCAGCTTGAAGCTCAATTCCTGACAAAACTAATTAACCAGAGCACCATGATCAGTGAAAAAAATGCACTTGTAACGAGAATGGCATGTGGATGAAGTTGGAAATGCATCTGTGGGCAGTCAGGTTTAATAGAGTATTTTTCCTGTTGCGTCTAGAGAACACATCAATCCTACACACTAGTGGCAAAGCTATAAATTCACAGTTATTAAAAAAAAAGACCAAGGCTTAACGATTATGTCCACAAGTGATGACCTACAACTGAATCCCACTCCAATCATTATCATTCTTATACCCAAACTTGAATCTCCATTTAAACTAAATTTAAAGGTCGTATAGAAACTGCCCTTGAATGTTTACATGTGCTTTGAGAGATCATTTGTAAACCGCACACTAGTGCATTATGTCTAAATAATGTGTCATGTGTAGTGTGAGTGCTCAGGCACATTTTGTAGTTTAGATGATGGCAGACCACTAGTGATTTCCTTTCTGGCTGCATTGCATTTGAGATTTTACAGGGTGTAAAGGCATTATGAAACTGTCGCATTCACTCAATAAGCCTAGCACTTAGTTTTTCACTATTTTTTTTACATGTAGTCTCTGATGACCTGCTTCACATTCTACCCATTGTGCTTTTAACAAAAAAAAGGAAAACAATTTTCTGAATTATGTGTGTAAATGTGCGAAATTCATCTCTTTCTTAAGTCGTGAGCTGTGAAAGTGAGCGCTAACTGCCTTCTCATGTACATAATGGGGATGATGATGATGGTTGGGCTATTTGTTGAGGTGAAGTCGGGTGTCAGAATGCCTGCGGTGGTCATCCATCAATGTCCTGCAGCCACCATGCACGCACTAGTGAAATGTAATCTCACACACCGTCTAGAGCAAATTTACCCGCCACCTCTCACCTGTGGTATAGCTTGGCTTTTTATGAATGAAAAACCTTTGGAGCACACACACACACTACTTACATCTGCCTACCATAAACACACACATAGACTCTATGTCCAACCTCTGCCCTCTTCTAATTGTCTGTTTGTGTTTGACCCAAATGGCAGCAAAGATGAGATGGTTTACTTTTATGTAAATATTTTTAAGTCTGGTGTTCTGAGTGTCTTTAATATGAAAAGAATGAAGTTATTTGGTGTGCAATGGCCACTGCCTTAGACACGACGCATAGATGGAATGGGACAATGACTAGATATTGTGTGTATTTTAAGACTTAACACTCAGTTACAAGGGAGTCAATGGTGATACAGTGGTGTTATGGGTTTAGGGCACTGCCCATGTGTCAATCATGCTTTGTCCAAGACTAAAGGAGACGATGTGGTTGTACAGACACAAGTTTGTGCAAAGGGGAAAAAAGTGCTAGAGTTAAATCAGTGCAATATCTTAACATTTTTTATTGTGTTAAGACGCATGTTTGTTGTTAATTCCACCTTATGAATAATAAAGATTTTTTAAGTAACTCAGCACGTGGTTTGTATTTATTCACTGAGTGTGAGACATTAAGTTGATACAGATAGAGCTACCAAACAGATATTGCTAGCAGCAAATGCTCAGTAGTGAGGCATTCAACAGAACTTGTTTAAATATAGTACTGACCAAATTTAAATGAAATTGCCAAAATGACTTTTCAAAAACAATTTAAAATACCCCTGTCTTTCATTGCTTGGACAACCCGTAATACAGTACTGAATATCAATAGTATAGTGCACATCTCCAGAAGTAAAACAATACATATAGAAAAGTATATTTCTTCTTGTACTTACTATACTGTAGTATATTATTGAGTACAGATGTATCTAAGCTCTACAAAACACTTCTGCCATAAGAAAAGAAAGTGGCATTTTCCATGGTCCAGTTAAATTTGAATCTGTTAAATGTTGAAAAGGAAGAAACTTTTTTTTTTTTTTTAAAGTTGAAGAATTCACTCTCAGCTCCATTTCCCCTTCCTTTCAGGATGTTAAATGGATCCCTAATGGACAGTTATTTAGGTATTTGCTCACCCACCTGTCATGAGCTTTTTTCAGGGAATTCATTGCCTTAATGAATGTGGAAGACAGTCAGCACAAGATGTATACACCATGTTAATAGGCATAGCATGCCAACTCTAGGCATTGACAAGACGAAGTAATGAAATCCATTAGATTCTGGTGAGTACATGTTTTCTCAGGCCTCTCGGAGGGCTGCATGTATGTTCGAGAGCTGTATACCCTGAGGGCAAAGACAAAGCGGTCAAAGGTTAGCTGGCTTGCTTAAAAAGCGCCCACCATAAGGGATAATTGGACTCTGTCCAGCCTTCATTCACTAGTTTTCCATCAGCAGGCCTATTAAGAAAGTATACATTGTGAAAATGTGCACACTTAGACCTTCCACAGACCCCCTTGCTTACCATCTCCCCACGGCACGTGAACCGCTAGAGAATGAAGATGCTCCGATGACCCAATGTGTCTCTTCCTCTCTGCCCACCCCCCTCTGACAGGAAGCTGGTGCCACTGATGGATTGCTGGCTGAGTCTGTCTCTGACACCCGCTCTACATGACCGGGTAAATTCATTCCATTCCTGCCTTTCTGTACACAGCCGCCCATACCAGCATCCACTGCCTGACAGCCAGCCTAATGGGGGGACCAGGCCAAATGGATTTCAGGAGAAAAGTGAAGGGCGGCAGGGCCTCAGGGGGGCAATAATTCTCCCCTATTTCAGAATTAATTTTACCCAGTCCTCTCACTTTTTTTCTTGCTTCCAAGTTTTCTCGAAGAAATGGAAAGGAAGGAGAGGTTTCACTGCCTATTGATTCAATTTAAATGTGACAAGTCTGAACGCAGGTACATGAATCATTGTATCTTACTTACGAGCATGAGCCACATGTTGAACGTTAACCTTCCAAACTGACTCGGGTGCACTAGATAATAGGATACAAAATAAATGCTATCATCAGTTCGATTTGATATTAGATATTAGCAATTAGTTTTACCTGCTGATAGTATGGCATAGAAGAATGGCAGGTGGAAGCTGCATTATAGGCTAATTGCTCTCTGTGGTACCACGCGCCATGTTTAATGAGCCTTATTCTGTGTGATGAATGTGCACACACACCCATAACCTGTACAGTGTGCAGACTTGATGTTGCCTGCCAGACAAATAGTGTGAAAGTTCAGTTGCGGAGAGCAATTAATTAGCCCGTGGAGAAGAGAAAAAGAGTGAAGTATTGGGATTTCAGCTCGGCTACTTATTTTTTTTAACAATTGTTTATTGAATTTTCTTCTTTTTGTTTTTAGACCGAGTAGAAACAGTAATATAAAACAAAAAGCAACTGTGCAAATCTAGAACCCATCCCATCCCACTGCTGGTAGACTTCAAAAAATGAAATACAATGTAGACCTTGAAAAAATAAAACTTACAATGATATTAAAAATGATGACACAATATTAAAAGCAGAATGCCATCAATTTACAGTTTTCACATTAGATCCACGTATGCGAGAAGTTGAGAGTTCCATCATTATAATATCCAACAGATACACAGTCCATGTTAGCTCGGCTACTTATTAAATATTATTTATTCAGCTCAGGTATTTATTAAAAATAAACTTACCAGCCGATTGCGACAAGCAACACTATTTAAGTTGGTCATTTAGTTTTTATTTCTACAGCGTCAAGGTCACACTCCAACCACACTAAAATTTCATTGGACGGAAGTACCACTCCTTATGTTTATTAATGATCAAACATGGGTGAGAAGAAATTGTGTGGAAGTTGAGAAACGTTGATAAAGTATGACAAATCCAGGCAGGGCTCCTGCATTACATGTCCATATCACTTCGCCAAATTATTTCAGTTATTTCAAAGGTCCTTACAGCCTACAACAGCAAAATCCAACCAAAACCAAAAACGCCGGCACCATCACATAAATTAGTTGAAGGAAGTTTTTTAATTTCAACAAAATCATGTGTAATGATGCAACGGCCAAACCAGCGCTTTAATCACAAATCATAAAAAACATGATGAACTATAATCATTACAATCTGATAAGCTGATAGAGACAGCATTGAATTGGTGGGACATCAATACAGGGGTGTATACAACCTGATTGAAACCACTGAGGCATGTAGCTCAGCTCATAACTGAGACTGGGTAGGCAGCTGCGCTGCTTGCACAGACAGTACATGTGAAGCAAGTGACGACACATCTAAGCTATAAAACCTCACAAAAGTGTTGGGTGATGACCAGCCTGTCACCATGCAAATGTCCTGAATAGATATGCCATTTTCC